CGAGAACCAATCAGGCCGAAAAAGTTGTCCAGTGCTTCTAAGCTTTTCAGTTTACACTTTATTTGCTCTAAACACGACGAATTCCCCCATGAAACCGAATCAAATCCTCCATTACTCTTATGATTGCAGAAATGTTGACCCATCACAGGAAACAGAGTTAAAAACAAATGGCTGTAGGAAATCACGATTTTGTTAATTTATCTACTCGTTTCTGGCGAACGGGGGATAGGAAGCCGAGCCCCGGAAACTGTGTAATCTCCCTTAAGGCACAAACAAATTGTGTCAGTTCTCAATTGATAAAGATGAGTAAGCGACCCATCCCCCGAGAGACCACCAACAGCGATCTGTTTTCCTCGGTCTCCGATAGAGAACCGGCATCCATTCTGAGATGTATACTTATGAGACCAGCATAACTGCGTTTCGAAGAAGGCTGGTCGTGATTGGATAGAAAAGAATGAAAGAGTGAGAAATGACCACAATCTTCTCATCTCATTCGCGATCCAACACTAATCACAGACAACTTTCAAGCACTCCAGGCAGCCAGAAATGCACCGAATGTTGAAGAGGTTTATAATTTAGTCCTTAGTTTGGCTTGTTGCTTGTTGCACCAGTGGATATCTGAATAAATCAGAACAGCGGTGAACTCATCAACCGTCAAGAAATTTTGTTTTGGAAACAGGATCCGCGACTGGTATTCAAAAGGATTGACNATTGACTGCAATATCATAGAAACATTACGAACAAGGTGTAAAGTAGAATCGCGCACACATCAGAGCACGGTAAGCAGATATGGAAATGGATTTAAATGAGTGGTATTATTCAGAGGATCATAACAAGAATATGGTTGAAGTGATTCCAGTAATGAAAAATTCAAACTTTATACCTCTAAAATCCCTAATCGCTTCGACGATGTAGGCGAAATCTCGTTCTCGGTCCTAGAAGTGACCCCACGCTCTTGAGGCACTTGCTGGATATATTCTATTTACTGTTTGCTAGTGGCAGGGGNGTACTGAATCAAGTGAGAGGGTGAAAGAATTGATGGTTTTCTAACCTGCTGAGAAGACGGGTAGGAACTGGTTTCAGGATATATCTTAGTTACGAAGGACGCGAAGGCGCAATACCCACCATGAACGTTTAGACCACGCTCAAAGGGTGTACGGCCTAACGAGTGGATACCGGCCTCCAATGGACTGCTGTTTTCAGACTGTCGCTGCTTTCGGATCATAGACCAAATAATCTTCTACAACTGCTGTTTGTTTGGTACACTGTATGGAGTGAAACAAGTGTGAAAACATACACCTCACACGATAATCTACCCAAACACGCTGACAACTATTATTCATCCCATTGTCTGCTTCCATTTAATCTCTGGGTCAGTGTGGATGAACTCAGAGGGATGAGCTACGAGCAACATATTGTGTCGTTCATTTTTGGTCTACGGACCACAAACGTATATATTAGTGACCGAGAATCTATCCTAAATACAATAACTTTGATAACGACTGATGGGTTCCATTAGCTGCGCGGCCGGTTTTACTGCACAACAACGAGCAGGAAACCTAATGGTTTACCGAATGAAAATCGAAAAACGACAAGAAATAGAAGATGTACTTTGGAATATACGACAGGACAAAATTCAAAGAAATGTATGCCGTGCTTTTAGTAATTTGTTACTGTAACGCTTAGCAACCGCACCAGTAATATTTTTCGTGAGTGCATGTATCTCAATGAACCTTCTGGGTTCACGGCGTTTTATATGACCTGCCTCGCAGGTTTATCTTCAAACCTGACCCACGGGGGAACTACCTGTCAGTGTTTCCTCACAACGCCATTACCCGTTCGCCTCTCCAATAGTACCTTGCTTGATTGCCTTCTGTGCGTGAGGTTCCGGGTTCGATACCTAGTCGACAGATCGGAACTGCTGATGAGACCTAACCAGGTCGAAAAAGCTGCAAAGTGCTTCCTAGTTTTTCAGTCCACGCTTCACTTGCTCTATACACAACAAATCTCGAAGTGATCGGATGCACAAGCGTCACTGTTTATGATAATCACCCGTAACACCAAGTTTCTCTAACCATCGATTAGGTTAAAACAGAAAACTTCCAACAGAGAAGTCTAATACAATCACAATGGCCGAACCTCCTAGTTAGGCCTATCACGTCGTCATGCCAGATCTTAGCTTTACCACTGTTAGCCTTTGTTCAACTAATGACGGAATCGGCAAACATCGTGCACCGAGGAATTTGTTTGGTGGCATGCGTCACGTATGGCTTAATCATTGTAATCCGCAGAAGTCAAGCATTTGCATCAATTCGAGAACTCGATTAACTAAAAACGCAGCACATGGTAGAATAATGGACCTGATATTCCACATTACTAAAGGCTTGATGATAACAGCAAACAGCCTAAGTTGCGTGACTTGAATGACCCATAGCAGACACCAAGAGAGTAAGTGTACCAAAGTGGGGAGGAAGAATGGGGTTGACTAGCATCAAAATGGGTCGATCGCGTTGATGCACCATTACGTAGGACCTTAATTATCACTATGTCAGCACCATTAGTTAAGTTTAGCCAACCAGTATTGCTTGCACACAATCGAACTGAAAAGATGCAGATCAGAAACATAGGATCAAAGAGGACTGATCAAACCAACCTGTACAGTTTTTCCCAAACCCATATCATCTGCTAGCACTCCACCGGGTGCACTGTTATGAAGTTTCCAGAGCCATTGAACACCATCCCGTTGATAAGAGTACAATTGTTTGTACAAGGCATGTGGTAAATAGAAGCCTTCGGCGACAGTGACTAAATCATTGGAGGATAGATCTTCATTGTCAGAAACTGGCGATTTAGCGCGATTTTCACGTAAGAATGTCTCGATTCGATCAATTTTGCGCTGAATTTTTTCCGATGGGGCAATGCTCTGTACCCTTTGCAATAACTGAACGCAGTCTCTAAGTTGACCATTATGATACAACTGTCGCGCTTCCTCAACCATTTGCTCCGGATCTAATTCCTACGACGAGAGTGAGTTGATAAGTAAAATAGAGACAACCTCTGAAACTTCGGATACGCTACTCCTACGTGGTACGTCCTCTGCTTCATTCCCGATCGTATTCAGGGATTTTTCAACCTTGGCGATTCTTTTGGCAGTTGTCTGAGACGGATAGCATTCATAAGATTCTTTGAGAAGTTTGAGCGCTGCTTCTAGATCTCCAGACTCAATCTTCCTTTGGGCTTTAGAAAACAAATGGTCTGCTACTTCCTAAATGTATTGAGAAGCGAATAAATTGACACAATACCAACTGCTTACCTTGACCGGATCTTCTGTGGAATTTTCGCACTGATTACCCATATTTTCTTTCTCCTGAGAAGCAATGTAAGCTCTGATCCTTTCTATTTTCTTTCGCAGCTTTGGACATTCTTTTAAATCCAGTGCTTTCTGGCAGATTTTCAACGACTCATGAGGATCACCTTGTTCGAACACAATGCGAGCACTGGATATCAACGATTGAAACTCATCCTCAACAGACATTAGTTACTGAAAAAGAAAATCGTTTTCAGTTATCAAGTTTTATAAACAGCTGCGGACCCAAAGCCCTGAAGTACAAGGCGCTCTTCGCGTATACACTGTGTACGTAGCGAATCATTAAAATAAAATGCAGCCGATAGGATTTTCAAACAGATACTAATTACGAAATAGTTCGAGTTTCAAAAGGTAACTATTTTTCTTAAACTACTCCCAATCGAATAAAGAGCTCCAATGTACTTTAAAGGTGAAAAAGGGGCAATGGGAAATTTCCACTAGTCCATATGACGGGTTTCCAGCAGCAGTGTTATGGCAACGGAGATCTTTTGTTGATTCCGTTGTCTCTAATACCGCAGTTGCGATTAAGAACTTGAACTTTTGGGTACCAGCGGACAACAGACGTTTTTTCACATAGCGAACACGAATTACAGACCGATGAGATAAGTCCCATCTATGTGTAAATGTGAACGTATCCACAAACGTGTCCTAACCAGCGAGACATATTGAGCTGAATTTGATGCGTTGGCGAATCTTTCCTTGAAATATTCTCGAACATACCACGACTTACACCTCAAATACCAACCCGTTCACTCAGTTTTACCTCCAGACGACGAATGTGTTCTACTCGCAGATTTAAAGTCTCACAATCGTAAAGCAAAAACTACCCAACGGAGGTGCAGCATACGCGACTTTTCAACTTCTGTGAAACGTCAGGCCCTTGTCTCAGGTGCTTCAGTCCTGCGTAAGCTGTCCGAGCCTTGGAAATGCGCGCAATGATCTCCTTTAATGCGCTACCGTCGTTGACCATATCCGGAGCTATGACCAGGTTGGTGGACCACTGGTAGTTCATCTAGAGGAGTTGGCCAAAAACCCAAATTCCAAAACAACCAAGAGGAAGCGTACAAACCACACACCTCGGTTTTGGCAGTGGTCACCGGCTCAATTGGGTATCAAGTTTTATTGGGAACGTTGGACATTGGACCCCGTCCAAAGGACGTATGATTCAATGAACTGGATACCGCCCCCCAATAGATTTCGGTTTTCACGCGCCGCACCGCTACCTTGGGGGTCAGGCTTTGGCTAGCCGAAGGCTCCGGTTGTGGATTCCTCAAGAAAATTCACCTGCCTTGGCCTGAGTAACCTGGCAATATTCAGCCCATAAACCGATCATGGAATGTATTCCTTTATTATTAAGATTATTGTACCATTTATTTGGAAGTCTGTCGTCAGATGTGATATATATGTGTGTGTGTATTTGCCAGAGGTTTACTTTTTCCCATCCTGAATACAGGCCCAATCAATGTCCGTCTTATAAATTCACACCCATTTTATATACATTGAGAATTGGGCAGATATCGATGAGGTCATCGCCATCATCATTGTACAGCATAATACAGTGTTGCAAACTTCACTGATCGCTGCCAAACTCATTGCATAAGTGAGAATGTTTAAGGATGATAGTTTCAGTTCAGTTTGAAAAACCATTAACCATGCACTTTCG